CAGCTACTTGGAAGGCTGAGGCAGAAGGATCCCCGGAGCGCAGCAGGTGGAGGCTGCGGTGGCCGAGAGCGTGCCACTGCACTCCGGTCTGGGTGACGGAGTGAGACTCCAACTCAAAAAAAAAAAAAAATTTTACAAAACAGAAAGCTGCATTCAAACGATCCTCTTTAAACTAGGATTTTACCACTGTAACAGAATGTAGTCATCTGCTCTTCCTTCCTTAATACATATGAAAAGTGCTATTTCTTACTTTTAATATATGGGTAAGTATCCAGGCATTAGAATTGTACATACTTTTTTGTGTTTCTTGCTTTTTTCTGTGGAGAGTATGATATTTCCTTTCAAAATGATATTAAGCTCTAGATCATGGGAAACAAAAGAAGAGGCCATGAGAACATATGCGCCAGCCAAGGGAATAAAAACCATTATTGGGATGGATTTTCTCAATCAGAGGACAGTTTGTTTGTTTTTTTTTGTAAAGGGAAGAAAATTCACACTGCCCTTTTGAGGGAAAAGAGCATTTCTCCCGAGCTGCAGTAGCCTTTGTGAAACACGCTTAGGCCTTCCCCCAGGGATGGGGAGAGGCTGTCATATCTCTATGCCTCAGAGAGAAAGACACGATCTGGCAGCTCATCTGGGCGGCTGTTTTCAGTCTAGTCGTTGTTCCTTTGAACCGGCTGTAAGCCCCGTGCACCCCTGAATGTCAAGATAAGGCAGATGAGGCGGGCTCGGTAGCTCAGCCTGTAATCCCACGCTTTGGGAGGCTGAGGTGAGTGAATTGTCTGAGCCCGCGGGTTCGAGACCAGACTGGGCAACTTGGTGAGACCTCATCTCTACAATAAATCAAAAATTAGCCGGGCATGGTAGCGCGCGCCTGTAGTTCCAGCTACTTGGAAGGCTGAGGCGGAAGGATCACCAGAGCCCAGCAGGTAGAGGCTGCGGTGGCTGGGAGCGGCCACTGCACTCCAGTCTGGGCGACAGAGTGAGACTCCAACTCAAAAAAAAAAAGATAAGGCAGATGATTTTCTCCCATTGTATCCAAAAAAGTATCCAGGGAAAGGAGGGCAGGCCTGTGGAAAAATTGGGGAAACTGCTGGGAATAGAAAAGGATATTGCTAATCAGCCTGTTAATCAGCATTTTGATAAATTTGGCAGAATCATGTGCTGTTGTGCATTTATTTTATTTATTTATTTTTTTGAGTCGGGGTCATACTGTGTTGCACAGGCTGGAGTGCAGTGGCACGATCACGGCTCACTACAACCTTGACCTCCTGGGCTCAGGTGATCTTTTCACCTCAGCTTCCTGAGTAGCAGGGACTACAGGCATGTACCACCACACCCAGCTAATTTTTGTTCTTTTTGTAGAGATGAGGTCTCACCATGTTGCCCAGGTTGGTCTCAAACTCCTTGTCTCAAGTGATCCTCCTGCCTCGCCTCCCAAAGGGCTGGGATTACAGGTGTGAGCCACCATGCTTGGCTACACATTCATTTAAAATGTGCTCTCCAAGTCAAATATATTTGGGAAGTTTGAAAGAGGTTAGGTAATTAAAGATATGGTCACCCAGCGCCGAAACAATGAGTGAAAATAGGAAAAATCGAACCCATTGATGATTTCGATGACCTTATGCTCAGCCACAGGTCTACAACTCCCTGCACCCTCACTCCCCACCACAACCCCAACCCAAGACTAGGTGTTTCTGTAAAATGCTCAAGGCCAAATCCACAGGATGTCCCCCACCCGCCATTTCCATTACAATGTCTTCATTATGGCACAAGAAGCTATGAGACTCTTCCAATGAGCAAATTCAAATGTCTGGCTCAAACCTGACCTGGAGAACCAAGTTGTCTGCTTGTAACAATCAACAGTCATTGATAATCCAGAATTGCATCATAAGGATAGGACCCTTTGGGAAGCGGAGGTGAGAGGATTTCCTGAGCCCACGGGTTCGAGACAGCCTGGACAACTTGGCAAGACTACATCTCTACAATAAATAAAAAAAAATTAGCCAGTGTGGTGGCACACCTGTAGTTCCACCTACTTGGAAAGCTGACGTGGAAGGATAACCTGAGCTCAGCAGGTTGAAACTACGGTAGTCATGTGTGTGCCATTGCACATATGCCTGAGCAACAGAGTAAGACTCCACAAAAACAAAACAAAAAGGATAGGACCAAACCATAGCTTCTACCTCTGTCTTGATGGCCCATAGTCAGCTTGCATTGGTAGGCACAATCTACAGCAGTGGCAAAGCTCACAAACTGAAAGACCATTTTCTCCTAACCCTAGCATAAATGCACCTCCATGGAGGGCTCTATGCTGAGAACTGGGAAAGCTTAGCCTGAGACCACAACAGCTTGGTTTTGCAGCTCTGACCTATAGTCCTGGGCAGCCATGAGCAGTTCTGGAATCTTCAGCCTGGCACTGCTCTTCACCAGAGGGCTGGTCTAATCCCTTGAGCCTTTTCTTGGGGTAGGAAACAGAGCCAGGCCCAGGTCTAGGGTTGGACTTAGAACACACATTCTACAACCAAGAGGAGTCTGGGGTAGCCACTTGTCCTGAGAGACCCCTGTGCTAACTGTCCTGCTCAAGAGCAAGTGGGGTCCATCCTCAAACCTTGTCATCCTTTTCAAATGAGTCCAGCTGTGCCAAACCCTTAAGGAAAGCTTTCAGCACCTGAGCCACCTCCAATACCTGGATTACAGGGTTTTTCAGAAGACCCTATGCACTTATATTGTTTGTCCGATTATTAATTTAAGTTATATGAAATTGTCCTATTTCATAGGTCAAATATGGTAAAAATCGTAATGTGCTCGTTCTTACAATATACATTATGAGAAAAGTAGGCCAGGCATGGTGACTCATGTCTGCAATTCCAGCACTCTGGGTGGCCAAGACAAGAGGATCACTTGAGCCCAGGAATTCGAGACCAGCCTAGATAACATAGTGAGGCCTCCTCTTTTGAAAAATAACAAAATTAGCCGGGTGTGATGGCACGCGCCTTTAGTCCCAGCTACTCAGGAGGCTGAGGCGGAAAGATTGCCTGAGTCCAGAAAGTTGAGGCTGCAGTCAGACATGATCATGCCACTGCACTTCAGCTTGGGTGACAAAATGAGACCCTGACTAAAAAAAAAAAAAATTTTTTATTTTAATTAATTAATTAATTAATTATGAGAAAAGTATTGAGTATGTGGTGGAAAGAGAAAATTTTTGAGAATCAGATTGGGTACAAATCTTAGTTCTGCCAGTTTCACCCAACAAACATAAGCTGAATTCCTTCTATGTGCCTGGTATTGTTCTTGGAGCTGGACATATGAGAGGCACCAAAAAAACTGGAATTATCTTTTTTTTGGAGGGTGGGCTATAGTACAAAGTTTTTATCTGAAAGTTTTGAGAAGGCTGCCTCATGATTTGTGGAAGAACTATCGCAAGTTGTAGCAAACAGGTAACTGGTTCTTTCACATGACAACACACCTGCCCACACTGCACTGAGTGTTCAGCAGTTTTTGACCAAAAATGACATGCCCCCACCATGCCCCACCCTCCCTAATCACCCCATTTTGGCCGGAGTGATTTTTATTTTTTTGTTTCCCCAATAAAAAAGTCCTGAGGCCGGGCTCAGTGGCTCAGCCTGAAATCCCAGCACTTTGGGAGGCTGAAGTGAATGAATTGCCTGAGCCCGCAGGTTTGAGACCCGCCTGGGCAACTTGACGAGAGCTCATCTCTACAATAAATCAAAAATTAGCTGGGTGTGGTAGCGCGCGCCTGTAGTTCCAGCTACTTGGAAGGCTGAGGCGGAAGGATCGCCGGAGCCCAGCAGATCTA